AAAAAAACGCAACATAAAAAATATATCTTTTTTGAGTTAGCAGTGATAGGTACAGTTTCAAATTCTTTATTTTATTCTGTGCATATTCATGGAGGATAACACTGAAGATAATTAAATTTTATTTCACTTATTAAGTAGGTGTTTTATACAACCCTAAAAACCTTGCTATTGAAAAAATAAAACTTGTTTATTTGGTATGGCTGGATTCGGTTTTCTATAAGCTTTTCAACGAGCCCCCTCATGCCTTATGTTTCCATTTGAAAAAAAAGTAGGGGTAGCTGGGGAATAGGGGGTTGAAAAAAAAATAATTATTATATAACCGAAAGATGGGGAAAAACAAAATCAGTTAACGTGTTTCGGCGTTTTAAAAAAAATTAACTCATTCAAAAGATTTGAATTTTATTCCGTACTTCTGACCATCCCTGTATAATAGAAATTTAATAATTTGCATGTTGGATTCCAGGGTCCATTATTTTAGATTAATTTTAATATAAAATCAATAAATTTTTAAATTAATATAAAGAATAGCACGTTTTTGAACACACTTATGAAGTCAAATGGAATATTGAAAAGAGTATCATTTACTGAAAGTTGTGACCTAAGCGAAAAGTATAGTTTACAAACTACATAATGTTTTTACCTTGAGATCCCGCGGAATTTTGAAGGAGAAGGGGGCACTATAAGTTCCTTTTCAGGCTCTCGAATTTGGACCAGAATTTTTCCCATGTGTTTTCCTGTAGCCATGAACCTGAAAGCTTGCTCCACTTCACTGTAATTGAACACTGTCCTGTTTAAAGGTTTAATAGTTCCACGCTTGATCAAGTCCGTCATTATTTTAAATAATTCTTGCTTAACTCTGGGAGACTCACTGAACAATTTGTCCAACATGACACCCTGGAAGCTTATGCATTTTTGGAACAGGAGTAAGCTAAGATGGTGGTTATTGGCTAAATCGAATTTTCCGATTTCGATGAATCTGCCCCTCTTTGCAAGGCATCTAACGGACGCCACTAATTTTTCTTCAGCCAAAGAATTCAGCACCATATCGACACCTCGGCCTTTAGTTTCGGCGAGAACCAACTGCTCAAAGGATTCGTCATGAGAATTGCCGATATGTTTATCTGAATATTAAGGTNAATCAACCCTGCAACCTGTTAAAACCTTATAACTCCACATCCTTATGATCCCAAACGAGCTCGACAAGCCGTAAAATGATAACTCGCAACCGTAAAAATACATAACCTCAAAATTGGATGAGCCCAAAACTCTAAAACCCAAAATAAGCAGCGAATAAACTTAGACATAGGGCACAAACCTTAATTTTTGAATAGTAAACCCTTTTAACCTAAAACCTCGAAACCCCATAACCTGAAAACACGACAAGGCCTCAATCTGAAACCTCAAAACCCCGAAGCTGAATAACACTAAAACCCCAAAACTTCAAAACCAGGGCCGGCATTAATAAGGGTGAGAGTGGCGATCACTTCGAGCGTCACAAATGAGCATTGAGATACACATTTCGAACAAAGAAGCCATTGGCCGAAACTCATAAACTTAAGCTCCGAAACCCACATACCCTGGATGAAGCTAAATCTCTAAATCCGAGTTCCCAAACCCACAAAGCGTGAGTGCAGTAAGATCTCTAAGCCCGGGCTCCCAAACCCACATACATTGAGCACAGCAAACCCTCAAACCCAAGATCCTAAACCCACGTACTCTGGTCGGAGCGAGATCAATGTTTGTTACAAAGAGGATAAAGAAGCAAACGGAGCTTAGTATCAAACCTAACCATGCAAACTCTAACACTCTCTTGTTTCACCTAGGGTATGAGGGTGTGGAAGCTTGGTTTCATGAGTCCCGCCAAAGGCCTGTGTGATAGAAGCGTTGGTCTTGCTGCGCCCAAGGTACGTTGTGCTCAGGGTATGTGGGTTTGGGATTTTGGGTTTATGGACCCTACTGCGTAGGGTGCCCCTAGAGTGCTTAAGTTTATGAGTCATGTTTTCAGGTTATGGGGTTTCGTTTTTTAGGTTAAAAGAGTTTACTATTCAAAAATGAAGGTTTCTGCCCTATGTGTAAGTTTATTCGCTGCTTATTTTGGGATTTTGAGTTTTGGGCTCATCCAGTTTTGAGGTTATGTATTTTTACGGTTGCGAGTTATCATTTTACGGCTTGACGAGCTAGTTCGGGATCATAAGGATGTGGAGTTATAAGGTTTTAACAGGTTGCAGGGTTGATTTTGTTGAATTCTACCGATTTTTCAGCAATTTTTTGAAGTTAGAAAAAAACTCTGACATGATGGGACCAAATGAGTGGCAGATTCGGTTTCAGCGACCCAAAAAAACATATAATTCGATAGGTTTGGCCGAGGAGACCTTTCGTCGATTTTTTTTATGGTCCTGTTATCTTCAAATAAAATTTCATGAACTTGTTTATTATTAAAAAATGTGTTCCTCAAAAATACATTGTTGAATTTAAAAAAGTAGATATATTTAAGAATTTTATTCACATAATTAACAAACAACTATCTTCATGCGTCGCCAGCATCTTTCTTAAGAAACGAATTTATCTCTTCTGCCGTTGCTTCATTCTCCAAGATGGTGATGTGGTTTCCCTCAAAAGTATGGATTTTGACAGGTTTTTCAAAATATGTTGATAATCCATAATCTTCAGGAAGACTCCTTGAACTAACTTGACTTGGCTTGACTAGAGCTATGTTTGCTTTTAGTTTGGTATAAGTTGGAGTGTAGGTCATCAAGGCTTTTAATCTCTTGTAAATTCCATTGGCAATTATTCTTTGGTAGTCCACATCATGAACGGTGTTCTGTTTGATTAATTCTAACGTGAAGTTCAGCCTTTCATCCCAATTTACACATTTCAGAATGGTCTCCTGCAAACATTTTAAAATATATATGTATTAGTTTTGTTAAGCATAAGCACCAGCAAGATCAATAACAGCAATAACAACGGCATCTAATCTAAGGCAACGATGTTGATAACGCTCTTAAATCTTGTTACTTCAACTGGTTTCCTTAGTCGACAGTGTGCGGAGGATACGAAACGTTCTATTAAAGAAGTGCGCTTTAGTTGTCACTGTTGCTGCTGCTGTTGGTGTTGTTGTTACTGTTGTTGTTGTTGTTGCTGTTGTAGCTGTTGCTGTTGTTACCAATAGAATCAATAACAACGACTGCAACCGCAGCATTAACTAGAACTAGTACTACAACAACTACTACTACTACGGCAACAACAACGACAACTGATTGATATTAGTTTCAATTTTTTACCTTATGCTTCTCAATTACTTCTAATGAGACGTAAAAGGAAAGCATATGACATAATATTGTCGTTTCATAGTTCTTCTCGATTTCTATGCCAAAATCAATTAACATCTCTTTCATGAACAACGGCGATCCATCAATACATATTAACGTGCCATTGTATCCTAGAGATTCCAAAATATAGGCCACTTCTATTGCCATTACAGTTCCAAAAGAATAGGCCACCAAAGTAAATGTTTTCTCAGGGAAGTACCGCTGCACAGTCTAAAAAAATCACTATTACTTTTAATTATCTGAAAAATTGTATGACTTACAGGCACCAGTGATTGCGCCATTTCGACAATACTTTTGCAACTGACATCTAAGTTCAAATTTAGACCAACGGTGTGGGCGTTAAGGTATTTTGTGAAACTTTGAAATACACTGGGCCCTCCTTCAATTCCTGGAAACAGTAGTATCGTGGGAGCCTCCGAATTTTGCGGAACTTTCGATTCCAACTCTAGATAAGGCAAAGGATTACAAGTTGTATCACCGAGCAGTCTAAATAACATATCAATATCAACATAACCGTCGGTTTCTGTGTTATCTTTTACTACTTTTTCATCTTGGATAGTTCTCAATCTGCAAAAAGTAATAGTAACACCAACATTAATAAAAAAAAAAGGGTAAAAGATAATTACTTTGATAGCGTTATACTTCTGACATCTTTTGCAGCAAGGAACACCTCAAAATCTCTCTCTAAAGTTTGTTTAATTTCGACGGCCGTCATTGAGTCCATACCCAATTCGGCCAAAGTTGAATGTAAGCTTACCGATTTGGAATCAGTTATACCTAAAGAAACAGTTTTAATTAATATAATGTTGCTTAACATTGAGGTATTACTAATGCGAGATTTAAGATTTTGGTCATAATAAATAAAATATATAACGGTACAATGAATCTCGTACTTTAAATTAATGAGAGAATGAGAGTATAAAAAGAGTGCTTTATACATATACCTGATTAGAATGATGAATAAGGAATTATTTATGGCAAGTCAAATAATAGTTTTGTTCGTGCTATCCCAGATTATTATTATTAAATATGTTGCATTCTGAATGTGTTCGTTCGAAATTCAAAGTGAGCTTGCACCTCATGTGAAAACTAATCTAAAATCGCTACCGCGAACAGAGCTAATATTTATTTCAAAACATACGATTAATATTTTTGTAGTTGCCAATTTACATATTATGCTATATGCAGATGTAAATGATTTAAGCAATTTAGAAATTTACCTAATATATTGAGAACAGCATCGACGACATTGTCCGCAGAACTTAATAATTTTTTTTCGGCTACCACCATACTGGACACGATGACGGCGTCTTTCTGCTTCAATAAAGTATCCAACACCTGGAGACAATTGGATATCCTCTGCTGTAACGTCCCGCCTATCTCAATTTCCTTGTCATTTTCCATCATTTCAGCAACCAGTCCTACCTAAAAATTACCTGTTACATTAGTTGTGACTATTGAAAGAATAGATGCTCATATCATTTAAATATTTATATAATATAATCTAATTTAATAAGTAGGTATATAATTATATAAATGTATTCGCGAATTGGGCACAAACCTCTCCAACTGCTCCCCATTCGATGGCCATTGCGGGATAACCTGCCTGTCTCCTTTGTTCACATATTCTTTCCATCACGGAATTGGACATTCCATAGTTAGTTTGACCGGCGTTTCCTCGCCCACATGATACAGACGAAAATACTACAAATTGGCTGCAAAATAAAAATGAATGTTGATTATTTATTACGTTTGTAATTTAATGTTTTATTTCTTATGGGGGAAAATATGTATATTCTTACCTTAAGTCTGGGCACATCTTTCTCGTAAACTCATCAAGATACTGCATAGCATATGCTTTGGGCCCAAAAGAAACGATGAAATTTTCACGGGTTTGGTTTTCGAAAACTCCGTCGGCCAAAACCACAGCCAAATTAAAAACAGCGTCTATGCTACCCAGCTGTAATGATTCTTCTATGAGCTGTTTGCACCCTTCTTTTGTTGTTATAGGAGCTGTTGATATTTTCACTGTAACGCCATACGTTTTCCAGATTCTATTGAACAATTCAAAAAAAACCAATTAGTAAGGAATTTCTACATATAAGAGAGATTAATTTTAGGCTAGCTTCCTAAAACGAAAATAAGGTGACAACGGCCTGAGAAACTATTTTGTTTCACTTTTTTATGATAATTTACTTAGTATTCTTTGGCAATTGTACTTAAACTTTGGAAAACAATATTTTTTTGTATGACAAATATAGCAATAGTTTTTTTAATTTTAGGAACATGCAATAGGTAGACATTTTTTTATAGCGAGTGGATTGCTATTTCAAAATAACGACTACCAAAAATCTTGTATCCTTAACAGAAACCCGAAGAGAATAATATATTGGCACAGGCGCTCAGAACACCCTATATATTTAACGAAAGATATACCAGGCAGATATTCGTGTTTATCATCATCCAAAAAAATTCTGTTCCAAAATTTGAGTACAGTTACCTAAAAAATAAATAAATTATCATAATAAAAATAAAATAAAAAGATACTTTCACAACTTTTTAAGGAAGTAAAATTGTTCTAATGCAAGTGGACTTAAATCACCTTATTTTCGTCCAAGAAAGATAAGCTTGAAGTATAGCCCATTCTTGAGTCAACATCCTGTACAAAGTACAATTTTGTAATCTTCAAGCAAATCAGTGAAATATTTTCTTTGAAGATTATCTAAATTTACATAAATCCACAACGTTATTTATTGTTACCGTAATCTGTACTCCTGATATCCATTGGTAATTCCCTTCCTTGACGTTAACACGATTCTTTTGGCTCCTCTAAGAATCAACCAGTCGGCCAATTCCAATCCGAAACCTCCCAGTCCACCAGCAATTAAGTAAACTTTCTCAGAATTACAAAAATATCTGAAAGATTAATTCAAGGAAAAATAAATTGGAATATAAATAAAATAATTTATTTTGATGAATTAAATATAAAGGGATGGCCAGAAGTACGGAATAAAATTCATATCTTTTGAATGAGTTAATTTTTTTAAAACGCCGAAACACGTTAACTGATTTTGATTTTTTCCCATATTTCGGTTATATAATAATTAATTTTTCTTCAACCACCTAACCCCCAGCTACCCCTACTTTTTTTCAAATGGAAAGATAAGGCATGGGGGCTCGTTGAAAAGCTTATAGAAAACCGAATCCAGCCATACCAAATAAACAAGTTTTATTTTTTCGAAAATCGAAATCAAAAATGTCCTCCATTCACTATTTGGCATTCTCCAAGACGATAGTAAAAGCTGTCCACAGCATTCTGAATGACTTCAGCTGGTAAATTATGCATCTCCACCCTAACCTTGTTCTTTTAATTCTCAATATTATCCGGTCTGTACTGGTAGATTCTTTCTTTCAAATATCCCCAAAGAAAATAATCCAGGGGTGTTAAGTCGGGGGATCTTGGCGGCCATTCAACTGTACCCCGTCTACCAATCCAGCGATTTGGAAACATTTCATCTAAGTATCTTCGAACATCAATACCAAAATGTGGGGGAGCGCCATCTTGTTGGAACCAAATTCTTTCATTCGGTATATCTGGATCAATTTCATGAGGGAAAATCACAGCTAGAGCAGGTATCAGGTCAAATGTTAGGAAATCCAGGTAGCGTGCGGCAGTAAGATTTTCTTCAAAAAAGAATGGGCCCAAGATTCTGTTGTTGATGATACCTGCCCATACATTAACTTTTTGTGGATGCTGCGTATGCGATTCGCATGTCCAGTGTGGATTTTCCTGGGACCAAAAGCGATAGTTGTGCCTGTTAACCACTCCATTTAAATAAAACGTAGCTTCATCCGAAAAAAGTACGTCTCGTTGAAAACCATTATTGTCGTCACACCGTCTCATCATTTCCTCACAAAATTGTAATCGCCTATCATAATCGTCTTCCAAAAGCTCTTGGACAAGACATACCTTATAGGGGTGGTATTTCTCTTGTTTCAGAAACATTCGAATTGCAGTTCGAGAAGCATCGTGATTGCGGGCCAATGAAACAGTTGAAGTATGAGGATTTTCAACAAGTTCTAATGCAATGTCTAATTTCTTTTCTTCATTCAAAGCACGTGCCCGTCCAGTTTTGGGCAAAGTCTGTACTGTACCGTGTTCCTCAAATTTGTGAAATATTTTACTAACTGTCCCTTGCGAGATTTGGTTTTCGGGATATTTCGCATTAAATAAATCGCGCACTTCAGCCTGACTTCTTATTTTGTCTCCACATCCAAGCAATATCAAGATTTCGATGCGTTGCCTTTCCGACAATACCATTGCAATTCAGTAAATAACTTGATTTTGACACAATAGTAACGTTTCGAACTCCAATTTACAACTAAAGCGAAAAATTAACCAGAAAGCCTGGCAAGTAAGTGGTGCCAAAAAAACGCAACATAAAAAATATATCTTTTTTGCGTTAGCAGTGATAGGTACAGTTTCAAATTCTTTATTTTATTCTGTGCAAATTCATGGAGGATAACACTGAAGATAATTAAATTTTATTTCACTTATTAAGTAGGTGTTTTATACAACCCTAAAAACCTTGCTATTGAAAAAATAAAACTTGTTTATTTGGTATGGCTGGATTCGGTTTTCTATAAGCTTTTCAACGAGCCCCCTCATGCCTTATGTTTCCATTTGAAAAAAAAGTAGGGGTAGCTGGGGAATAGGGGGTTGAAAAAAAAATAATTATTATATAACCGAAAGATGGGGAAAAACAAAATCAGTTAACGTGTTTCGGCGTTTTAAAAAAAATTAACTCATTCAAAAGATTTGAATTTTATTCCGTACTTCTGACCATCCCTGTATAATAGAAATTTAATAATTTGCATGTTGGATTCCAGGGTCCATTATTTTAGATTAATTTTAATATAAAATCAATAAATTTTTAAATTAATATAAAGAATAGCACGTTTTTGAACACACTTATGAAGTCAAATGGAATATTGAAAAGAGTATCATTTACTGAAAGTTGTGACCTAAGCGAAAAGTATAGTTTACAAACTACATAATGTTTTTACCTTGAGATCCCGCGGAATTTTGAAGGAGAAGGGGGCACTATAAGTTCCTTTTCAGGCTCTCGAATTTGGACCAGAATTTTTCCCATGTGTTTTCCTGTAGCCATGAACCTGAAAGCTTGCTCCACTTCACTGTAATTGAACACTGTCCTGTTTAAAGGTTTAATAGTTCCACGCTTTATCAAGTCCGTCATTATTTTAAATAATTCTTGCTTAACTCTGGGAGACTCACTGAACAATTTGTCCAACATGACACCCTGGAAGCTTATGCATTTTTGGAACAGGAGTAAGCTAAGATGGTGGTTATTGGCTAAATCGAATTTTCCGATTTCGATGAATCTGCCCCTCTTTGCAAGGCATCTAACGGACGCCACTAATTTTTCTTCAGCCAAAGAATTCAGCACCATATCGACACCTCGGCCTTTAGTTTCGGCGAGAACCAACTGCTCAAAGGATTCGTCATGAGAATTGCCGATATGTTTATCTGAATATTAAGGTAGTTTTTCGGAATAAAATAAAATTTTGTTTATGTATAGTTGAGCTTTCATAAATGATTACAAGCCACATCGCATGACAGTAATTTTGTTTGGAATAGTAATTTTATTTCCTTCATGTTGGCAGTGAAATTTCGGAAAAATTAAAATAAGATCAAGGTTACATTAAAACACAATATTCTGTTTCACGGCCTGTAATTGTTTTTCGTTACCAGTACCAGTCGTGCAATGTTGGGTTGCCTGAGCTCGGTGGTCACGTGGCTTGTAAACATTTATGAAGGCTCTGTATCTTCTAATATCGTTTTTTTCGTCAACCTTTAAGTTGTGGAAAGGTCTTCTTCAGAAAATCACGTTTTTCCTTAGTACCGACTGTCGTGAACACTGTGCATCCGTAGTACAAAGCCAGTCTTATAGCCGCTTGTCCGATTCCACCGGTGCCCGAATGTATTAATATGCTTTCGCCTCTTGCCATTTGTCCTCGCTGAAAAATGAATGAAATTAAAACCGACAGTGTTGCAAGAATTATAAGAAATTTTATGCGAGTACCAGAAACTTACAATTATTAAGGAATATATGACAGTAGCGTAAACCACAGGAACTGTAGCTGCTTCTTCCAAACTCCAGCTGTCAGGAATAGGAAACTTCATGTGGATATCGGCTAATACCAGTGTAGAGAGAGCCCCGCAGCTTACCATGCCCATGTAACGCCTTCCTCTGATAAGACCGAACAGAAGAATTCTTATTAATTGAAATCGTTCGTATAAATAGAAACATTTTTCATTTAAATAAAAGAAACTGAACTAACTAAAAACAAGCAAACATTAAGCTTAAATTATGGATTTGTTCATATAAAAAAATAATCTACTCGAATGTCATTTACCTACTGTCTCTTCCTGAAAATTCGAATCCTTGAACGCACTCCTGCTGCAGACGGTCCTGCGTTATAACATCTACATTTATTTTTCCCGTAGCAGTCATAATATCTCTAAAGTTTAGAGCGCTATAATATACCTGTGAAAAATGGAGAATTAGTGTTTAAACTTGATATTGGTAATGATGTCTGCTTACAGTGATCAATTCCTCTTCAGTTTGTTCTTTCATGTGGCGATGGAGAGAGCCTTCTCTCCATTTTAGACTGGACAAATCTCCTCTTAGACTTGAATTTAGGAAGCAGTGATCGCTCTCTACAAAGTTTTCTCTTTCCAATAAGAGATGTCTGTAGGTACCCCATTGGCCATTTTTGCAAATATTAATGGCCATATTTTTTTCCAACTGATCACGATAAAATGCCACCTGAGGCCTAAACACTTCCCGATCATCCATTATGTGCAAACACCTGACATTTTGACTCTGCGGTTCTCTTCTGAGGCAATTGACCAGACCCAAGACGCCACTTTTGTATTCATTTTCTGAATACAATATCAAATTTTGGTATCTCTCTTTAGTGATTGCGTTCTGCACTCCTCTTAACCAGTGAAAGTCTTGTATGTCGTTCACTTGGACGTATTTAGGTTTGTTTATTATACCTCTTCTACGAAGAAGGACAAATGTTTCGTTTGAGGTGTAGTGCACTGTAAAAACTGATAAATTGTGACTCAAATTTTTAGGCGTGTCGAATTTTGGAGATTCTCGAGTTAGAATGAAAGCATTTTCTGTTAGCACAGAAAAAGTTTTTTCCAAAATCTGAAACAACAATTAATATTTTGGAGTTGATGGATACTATTGGTAAAAATAAAGGATTTACTTACATCATTTCTTCCTAAGATGTTTGAAGCAATCACGAGCATGCAGTCTGATTCACTTTCCAATTTTTTATTTTCAACGTCTATATCTATCTCTGGAAGAGGAGTTTTACTCAATATCTTAAGAGTGGGTTGTATAAGAGGTTGATCTTGTAGGGCTAGTTTCAGGACAGGCATCAATGAAATTGTATCTGCTTTGGTAAATTCATCAATGAGTTCAATAGCTTTAACTTTACGAGTTGGACTGTTTTCTAGGATTATTTGCATGTTTACTCTTACAGATTGGTGTAAATCTATCTCCGTAAAGTTAGGAACGAATTTGTAGCTTTCTAATACTGGAACAGCCAATAACTTTTTCCTTGGAATTGAGCTAGCTATTAAACCCCAAATACTTATACCGCCAGATCTGAAATCAGCAGGTCGAAATGACTGCAATATTTCTCACTTTCTTAGCATTAACGAAGAATCTTTGACTTGCCTTTGTCGTTCTCAGGCTAGGCTCTGTGTGGACAGATCCATTATCGGATTCCCTAGGCCCGCCCTGGTATTGATTTTGGTTCTTATTGTTGGTCATATCAAATGCTTCTAAAGATTTAGTCGTTTCTTACTGTCACATTCAGTAGCGACTGCAAAAGCAGGTCAAAAATTCTTAGTTAAAGCTAAAGAAGTGCGTTATTTGAAGGTAGCTGGCGGCAACCAGGTATATAGGTCAAGGCATAACAACCCAAAAAACCAAGATGATGCCATAATTGTTATTTGGGTATTGATAACATGGGCACATAAAAAAAGTGGTCTGTATTCTTGATTTGACCTAATAGGCTGTATGTATTTTGACGTGCTAAACCCGAATCTGAAGTCCGTTTAAACACCCCCAAAATTTTGAGTAATTGGTAAGAAATTGTGAAAAATCGTGGAAAATCACGTTGGTGTGTGCAAAAAGATTCGAAAAAATTTCTCATGAGTTTATATTAAGGAATATTTTCCACATCCAAGTTCAAAATGAATGTGTAATCACAACGAAATTGTTTATCTATGTAGAATTAAAAGAAGAATGCATATAAAGGGAAAAATTGCAGTAAACCGATAAAGGAAAAGTTAATTTTTATTATTAATTGCATTTTTACCTACCTTATTACTCCAGTTTTCACATCGTTGATTACTGGCAGAACAATGGAATTTTGTTCATTTCGTACTACATTGTCCAATAGCTGCAAATGAGTTTTTGTCATTATAGTCAGTTTAGAAATGTAGGTTGGTACATAAAGCAACCTAGTGTCGGATTGTAAAATCTTCAGTTGAAGCATGTTATCAATGAAGGTGACCCAATTGTCATCCCATTTTATGTAAGCCGTCGAGGCGGAACTGTCACATTCCTCTATTGCACGAAAACCTCCCCTAAAACATGTTTTTTATTTAATTCATAGTTGAATTGCAGGATGAATTTGAATAGTCACCCAAATGTCTGTTAAGAATGGAAATTATTAGAATTAATGTGAGAGATGAAGATACCTACGTCATCATTGTTATTTTATCATTTATAAATGAAAAGTTTTAAATAAATTATCATGATATTGTATATTTGTTCCCTGATACATACTTATATGTGTATCCTCGTAATCTCAACTCCTTGTAGACGTCTTTGCTTTTTAATTTAAGGCCTGAAGAGGTTTCAATTGGCACACAATTATGTGATAAGTTTTTAGACTCTGGTGTCAATAAGGAGATCCTTCCAGTAACCACTATGGAAGTCCCTTCCGTAACTTCGAAATTGCCATTGCCCGATTGAATGTTGATCTGTAGGCTGATATAACTTTGCTTGGGCACTGTGGTGGCCCTGATGAATTTACAGTTTTCAAAGCAAACTTGCGAAAAACTAATTTCTAAGTTATTTAAATTTGAGAAGGTTTCCCATACTAGATATAAATATCCTGCAGCAGGAAATATATTTCTACCTGAAACCCAAAACATTTATACAATTAATGAAGTGAATCTTAATATAGAAGTAACAGACCGTCAATAACATGTCCTTCGATGTATTTCCATTCGTTATCATCAGCATTAATAAGAACCACTCTCTCGCCGCACTTGATATCATTTTTCAAATTTTCTGTGTGATATGTTGGTATACTTTTAGGTTTTCGATGGTTCCACTTTATATAAGGAGATATCATTTCTGTTCCCCTACTCACAGGAATTGGGATATGAGGATAAAGTTTACTTATCTGAGGATTGAACCCAAATTCGTACAAGCTGCATTAATAAATTCATTACTTTTCATAAAACCGTATAGTTAGAGAGTTTTTACCTTCCAAGTGCTTTAAAAAATTCTGCTAAGTAGCTTCCACTCTCTTTATTAAATAGTGGAATAACAGAAACGTCTTCCAGTTCCTCTGATAGGCTGTCTCCAATTTTGAGTAGGACCGAATCTCGACTCAATGCATCAGAATTTTGGAGTATATTGTTAAATACCGTGTCTACAAAGTGTTCAGTTCTTCTATTGTTTTCGTTACTTTTTGAACACCCTAGTTCATTTAGCACACCTTGCAATACATGATCTTCTACGAAAAATGATTTTGGAAATTTTTCTTTATTAATTATTTATATGAACTTACTAATTGAAGACGAAATTTTAATTTTAAGAGATATGCCAACGTAGTCACTTGTCGTTGTAGTTCCATTCTGGAAGCTATGACCATTTATTTTGTGGCTATCTACCGTAGCGTTGTTTTCCTGAAATATTTGAAATAAGTGGTATTTCTATTGCATTTTACGATGATGTCAGAAGTTTAAGATACTTAAATAAGTTGAATTCTTATTCGATATTTTCTGTTTTCTTACATATTTCGATAAAAAATAAATTTACCTATTTTAAATTTTTGCGTTGTTATGTAACAATAAGATGATCAGTTTTAAAGATAATTATGTTTTATTATTGAATGTAATGAAACAAATCCTAATGGGGATCTTACCAGATTATTGTTGTTGTTGGAGTCTAATACTATATCATTTAAGGCCTTGTTTATAGAAAAAATATAATTAATAGTTTCTTCCAAAGACAGTGTTCCATCACAATACGAAGATAGTAAATCTGCAAATGGATATCCGCGTTTCCCGGTTGGTTTTACTTCCACTAAATTGAATAAATCAATAAGACCCATCTGAACTACAGAGCTTCCAAGCAAAGTGTCTATGTCATTGTTAGATTTCTTAAGTAAGACATCTAATATATTTACTTTTTGGCACAGAACCTTTTGTATCCTAAAACAAAATTAAATGGCATGATGTTGAACGATGATACAAATGTCTCACTTTCTCGAAAGTTTTTCCAATATTTTGTAATTTTTTCCTTTATTAATTACCTTTGAATACACATGGAGAATGTAGAGAGTGCCATGAGATCACAGCCGATGTCATACCATTTATTCATCTTCCCGAAGCCAAAATAGAGCGGTACAGAATCGTGAGGAAAATATTGAAGGAATTTGACAGACCTTGCAAATTCATTATAACGGGATACTATAGTGTAACCTCTAAACACATGGGTTTCTATATTATTCCTACAAAATACACCATATGATTTTCCTTCACAAGAACACAGCTATTTGAAATATCAAAAGTCGCACCTGAAACTTTCTTGTAATATTTTTATATATTCAGTGTCAAATTTATTAACATCAACAGTACTGAGTAAGCTTCTAACAGCTTCTTCTGTTCTGCCACTGACACATACAAGTCTAGGTAGATTGTCCTTTGCAATACCATGATTATTGACTTTAGTCTTGGGATTCCACCTCAATAGTACATGGCAGTTACCTCCACCAAACCCAAAACTATTAACACCTAAAAAGCCAAGTTAGAAAAAGAAGTAAATGAAACAGAAAATATTACCCATTAATCCTTTGTCGTCCTTTAATTTAAGTTTTTCTGTAACCACTCTCATTCTTCCTTCTACTAGTCCTTTTATTTCTGGCCTTGGTTTATTGTAATGTATGTTAGGAGGAATAAACCCAGTTTCCATACCAATAATACACTAGTAAGTTATTATTATTCATATATCATATATAGCGTGTAACAAAAATTAACCAAGAAACTTCCAGGGTTTATAAAACACACAAAAATATTTTCGAAACCTCTCAAAAGAAACTGTTCGAAAAAATTCTCGTAAAACTACTCAGTGTTAATGATAAGTTTTGTCAAACTTTAATTTAATTCTAACGATGAAAATATTCAACTTTTGCCCTATAAGAATTGTTGATAGGACGCTTCCCTACGGAAATACAGGGTGTTAAAAGTTTCAATTATTGATACAGGGTGAGTTTTTTCGATGTTTCGTGTAGGGATCTGGGAAAGTGGCAGAGATATAAAAAAGCTTAAATGAGGAAAGATATGCAGTTTTATGATCCTTACTAAATGTTACTTTTATTTTTTGAAAAAACGTCAAGGCTGACTAGATATTTGAAAAAATCCGAATTCGGCCAATTCCTTCAGATGTGTGTAGCTACGTTGCTATTTATGTTACATAAAGATTATAAAGTTTCAGGATTTTAGCAGTGTTAATAAGACAATGTGATCAAATTGTTCGTGTGCACTTTCAAGTTATAACATAAACTTCAAGGTTTTAAATGTAAACTATAGTTAAAAATGGCTGCAGTTCTCCCATTTTTCAAACAAACCATACCAAATATTATATCGTTGGAAAGCATAAAAAAAGATATTTTTTTCTAGCACATAGCTAACTATGGTTTATTACGTTTGAAAAACTTGACGTTTATGTTATAACTTGAAAACGAAAGTGCACACGACCAATTTGATCAAACTGTCTTATTAACACTGAAAAACCTGAAACTTTGTAATTAATTTTTTTTTGTAAAATAAGTAGCAACACTACTACACTACACGCATCTGAAGGACTTGACCGAATTCGAATTTTTCCAAATATCTAGTCAGCCATGACGTGTTTTCAAAAAATAGAAATAACATTTAATAAGGACCATAAAACCGCACATCTTTCCTCATTTAAACTTTTTTGTATCTCTGCTACTTTCCCAGATCTCTACACTAAACATCGAAAGAAACTCACCCTGTATGATTTTTCCTGCAACTTTACTGGCAGAAAATATTTAGTGATAAAATTTGGGAGATGACATTTTTTTAGTAGGGACTATTTTTTCATGGATAACTTATTCCAAAATACACTCCAGTGGCGCTGATATTGGGGGAGTAGGGAACCCGAGACACGTCGATTGTGGATTCTGACATCTTGCAACGTAAAAATTTCATCCCCAAATTCAACCCTCTTCGAGTGGCAGTTGCAACCCCTAAATTTTTAAATGAGAAGTAGGAGCTTGTGATTTTCATTGTCTATTCAAAAATGCTATGGTTTTAATATTTATTGCAAAAATTAGTGGTCTGCTTAACGAAATTTGTTACAACAAATAAAAATATCAAAACAGCGTTTTGTTTTTGCAGGCTAGCAAAAACAATTTCAGTGTTCTTTTTCAACATTTTCAATTAAAAAGAAGATATTATAAAAACTTATCAAAATTATTCATACCTAGCTGGCATTGCCAATTTTATTGAAAAAAAAAAAATATTGGTTGCTGTTAGGTCGGTCACGTCTCAATTGTTGGAAAACGTTAGAAGGCATTTTTATTTACGATTAGGATGCGGCCAAGACGTTCAAGGAACTAATTTTGAACATCTTCGTTGAAATTACGTTTTTTTTTAGTTTGCTGTAGCGAATTTCGACAAACTGATGAATTTATTTTTTACTGCTAATTTTTGCAATAAATATTAAAACCATAGCATTTTTGAATATAGAATGAAAATACCTTTCAAATGAGGTATCATAAGCATTTACTTCCCATTTAAAAATTTAAGGGTTGTAACTGCCATTCGAAGGGGGGTGAATTTAGGGGTGAAATTTTTACGTTGCAGGATATCATTTTAGAATTAAAAATCGACGTATCGCGGGATTTTTTTTTTAAATTTGCACAATAATTGAGATACTGAATTTATTCCATTTGGCCGTTCCACACTGTATATTATAATGCATACATAATGTGCCGTCCAAACATTTAGTTATTAGGGCTTGTAGTTTTCTCGAAATTTTTGTGGAATTCGGAAATCTTAGATTTCCTAATAATATCTCCTAGTGACATTCTTCGATGTTTAAAAAATGGACTAGGAACAACTTTAAAATTTGTCAAAAAATGTAATCCTTGTATACCGGGTGGCTCAAAGCGAGTGGGCTATTAGATTATTTCAGAACCTACTTCGATTTAAATTTTGAAAATTCACACTAGGGTTTTTGGGTGTGCTCTTTTCAAATCTAATAATTTGAGCCAACCGGTATAAAACCGTGAAATATTATTAAGAGTATGACGACAAATAGGAATTTTTATAAAGAATGATAAATTTACAAATAAAAAAGTGTTTTCTGTACAGGACACAATTGTGGGACACATTGTATGTATAGAGACGTTCCCATAACTTTCTTATGTATTTCTTTGAGATCTAAGAAAATTGGTCTTTCCTAGATAAAAATGCAAAATATATAAGAAGGACAGAATGTTATGAGTAGAGACCGACAGAATGTGATTTTTTTGGCCGAAGCCGAATTTCGGTTTCTGGGTCACCTTCGGCCGAAGCCGAAGATATTTTTATTAACTTGAAAATTTTAATTAATAACAAAAATATGATAAGATAACATAAAAGTAGGTCAAAAATAAATGCATAATGTTTTGGAAATATTATATATACAGTGTGATTCAGTCGTAATGTCATTAATTTTAACCACGTATTCGGAAGGCTTAATAAAGACAGAAAATCGGAAAAAAAATTTTTTACTCGACATTTAAAAATGAAGGAAATCAACCCATAACTCCCGCTAAGAGGGCGGCCCTGCTAGATGTCCGGATGCTCGAAAAATTTTGTAACGTAATGTCACGAACAATTGTCGGCTGAAGCGAACAGCGTTGCCAAGTTCACATCATAATGTGTGGTTCACATTTACTGTTAAACGTATTCAAGTAAATAAAGGAGCATGCTGCATTTTATTATAAATAATTTTAACAATTGTATTAACTTAGTGCAGAATGTTTTAACAAGCCTGACTTCTCGAAGTCAACTTTCGTTAAAAGAAAATAAATAAAGCAAAGGTAATTACCTGTTTGTAGGCACAATGCATTTTATCAAATAAAAAAGTCGGCACACTACTAAATACCCAAATATACAAAATACACTACACACGGTTACAAAACCATGAACAATTTAAAGCGTTTATTCAAATCTACCACCTTCCATATCTCCCGCATTTTTCCAACTGCATCTATCATACCATACCGCGCAGCGAACGTGCAGGACATCGACAAAATGACTTAAATGTGATAGAGGCTGTTTTAAATTTAGTCGAGGAGCAGCCTACTATTTCTACAGGAACAATTTCAAGGCGAATATCAAACCAAAGTTTGCGGATATTACGCGAGAATTCACTCAACCCGTACCATTTTCAAATAGTTCAAGCTTTAAAACCAGCTGATTTCCCCAATCGTCTTGAAGTTTGCAGTTGCAGCTAAATCGAAGTGCAGCAGACGCTAACTTTATTTTTATTTTTAAAACAAAGTGCGTTGGACGGATGAACGCTGTTTTACTCGTGCTGACATTTTAAACAGGTAAAAAACATATTACTTTCTCAAAAACAAGTAGGTTACACCAAAGTTTATATTTACACTAAAGTTTACATTTATTATGTAAACTTTGGTTATACGCAACTGCATATTGATTAATAAATTGAAATACTAAAACTGTGTATTATTTAACATAATAAATTATAAAACGTTAAAACGTTAATAATATTAAAAATGATAAATTGTAATTACCGTACATTGGAAAACAATCATCCCTATTCATTACTTTCAATTTTCCTTTGATAAAAGACCGACAACTTTATGCTCTACTTTGCAGTTCGTATTAGTCTAGGAGCCAGATAGGGTTCCGTTTACTACCTATAAAAATAAAAACCTTTTACAGACATTTAAACATTTAATTTGTTGATAACAATTAAACTCACCACTTTCAGGCTTCGCGACTAAGTTTTTTGGATTCAGGAGCTCAAAATACTGCGAATAAGTTGTTTGCAGCCTATCTGGCTTCTGGACTATTTGTACACGTGCAAATTAAAAAGTGGGTCATTGACCTAGATAGAGGTAAACCTAGGTCGGAAACACGTACCGAGTTGTTTATTTGTCTCCGTCCGATTGTTTTTTTTGTCTTCTATTACTTACAGTCAATATTTAAATACTACATACATTTCACCCTCTCTTTATAATTTATCCAGTGAGTGTTGGTTTTATATGTCATTATTTTTGTAATGAAATTGAAATGGTTGTGAAATGAAATTTAAATTACTTGAACTCTTGGAGGAATTTTATTTAAAGTGAAACAGAACTAATTTCTTTGCAGCCATAATAGTTATAATAGTAAGCCCGAAGGCTTACATAAAAAATTAACATTATGATGTTAATAAAAACTGATTTTTGGCAAAGCATGCTCAGACCTCCTCGAGGTTCTTGCTGGGCAACAATAACAATTTAATGTGTTGATTGCATAATTATAAAAAATAATGTATAGCATTTTAAATTTTTATTTGCTGACGTGAGCAAACCGTTTATTTATTGCCCTTTTATGAGCGAAAATATATAAATATGGCAACGTTGCATCTAGGGCGCGTTGTTCATATCGTAGCCATGCTCAAATTCTAAATAACCGACGACGTCAGCCGGTCAGTAACAGCCTGAAAAGGGGGTTAAATAATGATTTGAAAATATTTTTTTTTCTGCTTAAATATGCATTTAATTTTTTTTAATATACTCATTTTTTTCTATCTGCTCTTAAAATTAATGACATTATGACTGAATCACCCTGTATAGGGTGTTAATTGAGTATGTACAATAAATTCAACGACGAGTATTTGAGTGATTTTAATACAAAAAGTTCATATAAACATTGGTCCGCAGATGCTTCGTTTTCAAGGTACAGGGTGTTAATCTTTTATATAAAAAAAATCTATTTCGTAAATATTTTAAATACACTTTACCCAATTTTGTAGTAATTTGGCAGAGCTATTTGTAGTGTTAAGGGGCTAATTTAACCATAATTTGATTAGATTTGTTAAATCCAGCGGCGTCCCGAACGGTACTTTCGGCTTCGGCGAAAAGTTCGGCTTAATTTTGTCCGAAGCCGATTCTCAGCCGAAGATAATGGTCTAATGTGGCCGAAGCCGATGCCGAAGCCGATTAATCGGTCGGTCTCTAGTTATGAGAATATCCGTGTACAATAAGGTCACAGAAGACAAAACTATTGTTCAAATTTTCCTCAATTGTCGCTACTTCACAACAGTCGATATTTATTGGAAGAGTGAATAGTCTGTTGTGTACCTTAATAATCGAACAGATACCAGATGTTGGTTCTGAATGTCCGATGTTTGATTTGACGGAACCTATCAGCAAAGGTTCTGTTCTCCGCTTTACGAGAACGTCGTCGATGGCAGAACATTCTTCTGGATCTCCAACAGTAGTACCTTAAAAATACATTATTTACATTATTAGTATACAATTTCAACAGAAAATTAATCAGTAACAATAATGACATTACCTGTCCCGTGGGCCTCCAAGAAGCTGAGGCCGTATCTGTCAACGCCACATTCATCATAGAATTCAGTCAACAGTTCCGCTTGTCTTTCCTTGGAGGGAAAAGTGATTCCTTGCTCCTTATATCCGTCGCAATTCGTTTTGGCGTAAACCACCTCAGCATATATTCTTTTGGCATTTTTCGCCCTCTGAAGAAACAGAACCGCCACAGCTTCTGACCTGGCATAGCCGTTACCTTCTTCATCGAATGTCTTGCAAGTACCGTCCTTACTTAGAACTCCCAATCTGAAAGTTATTATAAACTTCGGTCTTAGAAACTCGTAAACGTTTATTCAGAAAAAAAGCCTTTACTATACGTTGATGAGAACATTAGTGGACGAATGTACAATGGGAAAACGCCAAAGATTTTCGGAATCTTTTGATGAAAAATATGATTTACTCACCTTGCAAACTGCAGGTTTAGTAACGGATGCAAACAAATGTTCACTCCACCGACGATAGCGTTGTCAATCTCTCCTCGTCGAAGGGCTCGGTAAGCATGTTCAAATGCGTACAAAGAACTACTACAAGCTGTGTCAGTTACGTACGACGGCCCTTTCAATTTTAAGAAGTAACTCAGTCGATGTGCTATCATAGACCTTTGCGCTCTGCAACAAAATTAGTTTAAAATAAAAAGAATGTGACATTACAGTTCCAATATAGTTAATTAAAAAACTGCAATTCTTTGTTTACATGACAACATTGGATCATTTTGTACCCAAAGTTCAAAGTCCTTATAAATGAATGATGAGACACCTGTGGTTTCCCACATTTAGGTACTGAAATATCTCACAAAATGACTATCTTGCGCTTACCCAGTCATAGCGTAGGCATTTGGGACCAGGTTAACGAAGTAGCACATTTTATCATTTTCACAATAACAAGCGCCCATGAATACACCAGTCCTGGTGTCCTCCAGGTCGAGAGGGTTTAAACCCGCATCCAAAATGGCCTCTATTGTTTTCTCATGAACTAGTGACGATACTGGGTCCAATGAATCTGATTGTCGTTCGTGGACGCCTTAGTAAATATAAATAAATAAGTGAATATATATAAATAATAGGGGAAGAATAGATATACATTAAAACAGTATAATGGAAGAGGGGAATATAAACATTACTGAGAGAAGAAAGTGATTTAATGAGTAATTTTTAACGTGTTAAACGATTTCGTATACAAAAAATAAAATATTTTACAAATTTTGTTTTAGAATTTCGAGTCCAGAAACTTTAACTAGACTAAAAATTTGTATTTGCTAGCATGTTTCTGTTCTCTGTACAGGCAATAGTAAATCTAAAATTAATTACTAGAACAGCAAGATATTTACACATTAATTTCATACATTATTTATATTTGTTCAAATTTTGTATAATTTTGAATTAAACATTTTTTAATTAATGTGTTTTATGTATTTTTGTTATTCATATATTTTTTAATTGAACTGGAATTAAGATAAAGAATCTCGAAGCATAAAAAATATATTTCTCTGGAGACGAGATCTTTTAATTGAAGGTATCTGAATTGCATTATTTGTTGTAGCTTTTGTTTCATAGTTGTGTAAACTGTATAATCTTGTTTTATTTTTACTTCATCAATTAATGAACTGTAATAATACAAGCTCTACGACAAACTTTGATAGATGCTAGCTGAGTTAACTTTTTCTTTCAGTTTGTATTTTGTATTTTTATATACCTACATCTTTCCAGTTGTCTCTATGAATTATGATAGCTGTATCATCTGCCTAAGAAAACATCTTGCTATTATTAAGTAAATTTGCAATTTCATTAACATACTTTAAAAAATATGTAGGTCCACGGACAATGCCTTGTGAGACACCTATATCTATTTCTAACAGTATGCCAATAGTGTTATTAATTTTAACTTTTTGAATTCATTTTTTTAATAACATTTTAATAAATCTAATCCATGTCCATTTATTCCAATGTCATACAATTTTTCTAATAAGTTTTGAACGCCTTGGTTAAGTCCATAAATACATTCTTTCCCCATTATTAATTTGATTAATGACTTCATTAGTCGATGTAATTCCTGCATTTTCAGTAGGTTTACCCAAATTGATTATTGTATAAAATATTTTCATCTTCTAAATAACTCAATCAACCCCGTTTTTAAACATTTTCTAATATTTTCGCAAAGTTATTTATTAGAGATATAGGTCCATAATTTGTAGTTTCAGTTCTGACATGATTGTTATAAATTTCCATGCACTAGGATTACAGTCCGTACGATGGCGTTCATCGTAGCAGTGTATAGTCCTATTCTGTCACTAAGGTCGAGTTTTTGGTGCGGTGGGCGGAGCCTAGCTCTGCCGCACCGAAACACATAAAAAGGCTGGACGCGCGTCCTAGCCAGCTCACTCTCGCCTCTGCGTTTCGAGGTGTATGTCGTGGTCGACAAACCAGAGTGACTCCTCCGATAAGACACTTGGGTCTACTTTCGGAGTACCATTAACATTTATTCGGCGTTATTATTTTTATAATAGTAAATAAAAAAAAAGGAAAGGAAAAAAAAGGTTTTTTTCAAAAAACACAAAAAGAATAAATAAAAAAGAATTTGATGAGGGAAAAGATAAACCCTTAAAGTGGAAAAAGAATATTAAGTAAAAAGAGTAAAGAGCCACAAGGGTGGAAAAACAATCAGATCCTCCCAGGGAAAAGATAGACCCTAAAAATTGTTATTAGAAAAGAGGTCTTAGACCCATACCAGGTAGTTCCGGAATTACACTTAGGTGTATTCCGAAGAAAAGAATTCGACGGAAAGTCTAATTAAAAAAAGAATTCGCAACGAGGGACGGTACATAGCGTCTGGTATTGAGGTAATACATATACGCCGAGATGGATGCCGGTTTCGACGGAACACTACGAGAGAGAGTCGCGCATGCAGAGCTAGGTCGGGAAGCACACGACGGTCGGTTAGCGGTGGGCGTCGTCGCGGACGGCGTCCAACTTCGACGCCGGAGTCGAGTGACGTCACAATTCGATAGTGAAAGTTCTATGATGAAAAATGATTCCCAAAATTTATCAGATTAGGGGCTGTAAGTACGTTACTTAAACACATGTTTCTTTATCTTTTCCTTTTTTTGTACCAGCGTGTTTATAAATAGAGCTGTCATTATTAGCCGCGCACCAAAAGCGTGCGAATCAACATAAAATAAAGTGAACAATGATTATAAGACTTATGTCATTGTATCATTGTAAAACACGTAAATTGTTTTAAGCATCGTTGTTATCGGTTCCACAATCTGGATGGGATCCGTTATAGATAGCATCTCGCATCATCCTTTTCTTCTACCTTTGTTTCAGCGAAACTTCCGTTCGACATCTACTGATGCAATATTTGCATAATTAAATAATCTACTTCCAAGCTGGTCCGACATGGTAATTTTCCACTCGGGGTTGTATTTATTCGAGTGGGAATAAAATGTTTTATTATTTACTATATCAAATGGTAGATTATATGTTATCAGTATAAAGATTCAATCAAACATAAATTGCGTCCTCTGGTTTTTTTTATACGTGTGTTGGGCATTGCTTAATACTTATTACTTTATGTTTATTAATATTTATTTTAAACGGTTTTTTTATACATACACAAGTATGTACAGGGTGTCCCGAAATAAATGCAACAAAATTTGGTCAGAAATTCTTAAGAGAAATTTAAGGGACCCGTATTTTTTATTTTTGATAAGTGCGGCCCCCTTTCGGAGATATAGCCCCCTGAAACAAGCCCTTAAAAATTTAATTTTTTTTATATCTCAGAGCTCTATCGCACAAGAACCACCAAATTTGGTACACAGGGATTTTATGACATGTAGAATGCGATGCTGATAAGCTTTTTGGCAAGGGGCCCCCACAAGACACTTTTTCGGGGGCCCCCTTGCTTTTGGGGCCACCGAACTTTAGTTGCATATTTAATTTTTAAAAAAATTAGTAGCCCCTTAGAAACTCCAGGGAATTTAAAAACTTTTTTGTCTCTTAAAATTTTTTCGAAAAAAGCAGCGTTTTTCGAAAAAATGGCTAAATGTGATTGGATGCATATCGAGGTTCATATGAAATTTTAAAGTGTTAATCGTAGGTGGCTGGCATTCGCAATAAACAATCAATTTTATTCTGTGACAGTTGTCATTAACCAGTGTCAAAGTGTTACCATTAGTTGTCAGTAATCATTGTTCCCGAAAAAATGGTGAGATTTTCTGTCCAAGAAAGGGTACAAATGCACCTAATTTACGGGGAGGCTCGTGGAAATTCACGTCTCGCATGCAGATTGTACGCCGAGCGATTTCCTGCACGCATACTCCCATACCATTCAATGTTTGCACGAGTACATCGGCAGCTAATGGAGACAGGATCCGTAGTTGTGAAAAAACCTAATTCAGGGAGAAGTTATTTATTAACTCCCGAACAGGAAGAAATTATCTTAAATTTAATTGAAGAAAATCCCGAAATAAGCATAAGACGCGCGTCATCTCAACTTGAGATTCCCAGAACAAGAATACACCGCTTTATCAAACGACAACTGTTGAAACCTTTTCACTTTCAAAAGGCCCAGGAACTTAAAGTAGAAGATTTGCCACGAAGAAGAAATTTTAGCTTATGGGCTCTTCAACGTTACAACTTAAATCCGGGATTTATACGAAATTTTTTCTTTACCGATGAGGCGAGCTTTACAAAAGATGGCCTAATAAATTTGCACAATCTTCATTATTGGGCTATGGCAAATCCATTTGTCTTAAGGCAGACTCGTTCGAAAGAAAAATTTTCAATTAATTGCTGAGCTGGAATTGTTGGAGATTGCATCATCGGTCCATATTTATTGCCTCCATTGCCTCCAATGCTGAAAGTTACCTTAATTTTTTGGAGCATGAACTACCGCTTCTTATGGAAGATGTTCCTCTCGGTATTAGACGCAATTTATTCTTTATGCACGATGGTGCCCCACCACATCGGGGTCACTTCGTAACTGAGTGGCTGAATGAAAATTTCCAAGGGCGACGGATAGGTAACAATTCTTCTCATGTAACATGCCCCCCCACCGTTCTCCCGATCTAAATGCCATGGACTTTTTTTTTCTGGGGGGCCATGAAGGATCGCGTCTATGCCGTACCAATTAGATCCCGGGAACAATTACACGAACGAATCCTTGCTGCGGCTGAAGAAATTAGACAGATTCCCAACATTCACACGAAAATACGTCAAAATTTCGTGTCACGTTTGCAGGCTTGTGTTGAACAAAACGGTTCTCACTTTGAACACGTTTTACGGAACTGACCAGTGTGATTTTAACAAACTTTTTAGAATTAAATTATTTAATCATGAAGTACCATTAATTTTGTTATTAATTTCCAAGTTTATTGTACCTTATTTTGATATTCACATTTTCTTATTAATTGTTAATGTTTAAATTGTGATTTCTTTAAATTAAAATTAAATTTCTTTAAATTGTGATTTTTTTCAACTACTGATCCTGTCTCCATAAGCTCCCGATGATGGTTAATGACAACTGTCACAGAATAAAATTGATTGTTTATTGCGAATGCCAGCCACCTACGATTAACACTTTAAAATTTCATATGAACCTCGATATGCATCCAATCACATTTAGCCATTTTTTCGAAAAACGCTGCTTTTTTCGAAAAAATTTTAAGAGACAAAAAAGTTTTTAAATTCCCTGGAGTTTCTAAGAGGCTACTAATTTTTTTAAAAATTAAATATGCAACCAAAGTTCGGTGGCCCCAAAACCAAGGGGGCCCCCGAATAAGTGTCTTGTGGGGGCCCCTTGCCAAAAAGCTTATCAGCATCGCATTTTACATGTTATAAAATCCCTGTGTACCAAATTTGGTGGTTCTTGTGCGATAGAGCTCTGAGATATAAAAAAAAAATAAATTTTTAGGGGCTTGTTTCAGGGGGCTATATCTCCGAAAGGGAGCCGCACTTATCAAAAATAAAAAATACGGGTCCCTTGAATTTCTCTTAAGAATTTCTGACCAAATTTTGTTGCATTTATTTCGGGACACCCTGTATATACTGAATTACATTATTGTTTATATTTTTTTTTTTTTTAGTAAAAGAACGTATTGTTCGTTATTTAACTTTTCCTATCATCACAATGATCACATGCACTTGAAATAACATGTGTTGAGTGCCGCTTTGTTGGAATTTTCCCTACGTTTAATAGACCTTATTAATCCAAAGGTAATACAAGGTTAAATTTTCTTTTGTTTCAGTTTATTGTCAGAGTTTCTATTGAATTTTTTATAGCAGTGCTAATTAAAAATAATGCATATGATTTCTCAATACCTCTGGACACTGGATACAATAACAATTTTCTCGTTCTAGCAAACCATTTAAATTGACATAATTTTTTCCATATTTGAATTTCTTTTTGTTTTTATGATAATTGAGATCTATTGAAAGCGCTATATGATAATGATCTGTAAAATATGTATTGTTAGGGGCCGTTGTAAGACTTAATACTTATTAGTGTCGTTTGTTGATCAGTAACTGAGAGAGGTCTAACAGTACGTTTCATGTATTATAGGTCTAATTTATATTCTAGTTATATTATTGTTGAATATAAAAATATGTGATAAATAAGCAAGTGATTTAATGAAGTGTTTAAGTAAAATTTAACAGAATGAAGAAAATAAAATATACAGATATAGATAAGAAGAGAAATTAATAAAGTATGTGTAAAAGGAAAAGAAGCATTTACAAATGTCAATAGAGCAAAAATATATCTGTCATATAAAAATACTAACAGCATACCACCTGTGCCATCATTTAATAAAACCAAAACTACCAGAGCGATCTCAATTCCGCAAATGGAAAAGTTGTAGGAATTTAAATTTCGAAGAAAATGAGAGGTCGAGCTATTCGATCGGTTGATTAGAACCGGAGAAAATCAAAAATAATTCATAACTTTGTCATTTATGAAGATTAAGAGCTGAAATTTGGCACAGAAGTAGATAATTATATCAATTTTAAATGTGCAGAAGGCAAACGCTGTCGGACCATTACTTTTTACGCAATTGCAATTTCAAATTTTTTAAAAAATTTTTTACCGGGAGTCTGCTTGCGTTAATAATGGTCCGATTTTAATTTTAATACCGTTTTTCAAAACTAGAAGTAAAATATTAGAATACGTATATTTCAAGTTTTCGTTAAAATGCAACGAAATGAATGAAACATGCACTTGAATGTCGGTGTAAACAGTTACAGTCTAAAACGTCAACCAGGGCTATATTGATGGCAATCTATGTATCTAAATTCCAACAAAGTTATAAAATAGAAAGCCACCTTAGAAGGTTATGTTTGAAATTTAACAATCATGTGTTACTTTTCATATTGGCATGAGCAGATATCGCTTTTCTAATATATTCTAGTACCTAGTACCTAAACATTTTATATAAAGTTATTTCATTGGATATCAATTACTGAAACTTTTTGCACTTACCAAAGAATCCACGGTCATACTGTTCAATATCTGGAATAGTGCCTGAACAAGGAGGAATTTCTGGGTGAATTAGATCCCACCTTCTATTTGGCAACACCATATTGACCTTGTTGTATAAATTATCCCTAAATTCGTGAATATTATTGGAATTAGGGAAAACTCCGGACATACCTAAAGAATAAGATATTAAGTAAGGTAAGTATAATTAAAGAACCTGCACGGAAAACTAAAAAAATATCTTTTTAGTATAAGTAAAAGAATATTACCTGAAATAACTATCTCCTCCCCTGCTTCAACACTTGCCATTGCCTTTCCACCTTGCAAGTTATAATCTGGCCCTTCTTTGTTCTTAACGCCATCTTCTAGATTTTGCGTAACCTCCATTTTATTTAAGGATATAAATAAGTGTAAATAAAAATGAAATTGTCTAGTTGAACACCTTAACTCTAAAATATATTTACTTCCGATAACTACTAATTTTTAAAATAAATATGAAATTCTATGTAACATCTCACTGCAATAATATAAGGCTTCCCTAAACTTAGCATCACTGAGAATTTTGTACGTTAGTACTCTTTATATATGAGAAAAACTTGTATTTTAATATAATTTATGCCCATGTGATATGTGACCTCTTCATACACAGTATACCAAATAAAGCAATAAGTTGATAAACAAAAATCAATCTGAGGATAAACTAACAAACTGTTATTTATTAAGGTATTTACAATTGAGACTTAAAATAGTAACCAGAGATTCATCCTAAGATTCTGCGACAGGTAAGACGTGCCGGGAACATTTTCCAAAAATTATTACATATCTCGTAGAACAATAAATATGTCGATTTTTGTAAAAACTAGATTATCCTTACAAATTTATACTCACCTTGGTATATTCAAATATACGACACTCTATTATATTTTTAAGTACTCTGTTCATCATACTGCAATTCCGTTGTTTTCTATTTGCATACTCTTTCGATTCAGTTTTAAGTAAACAAAATTCATTTCATACGTAGTAGATACGTAATAAAAAATTTTATGGATAATCTAGACAAATATCTTCTGCGATTGCAGTTTGAATTTTGATGTTGGAAGTTTGTTATGAAAATAAAATCCATAAACCATCCTACATATCGCAGATTTAACATCACCGTCAATTTTTTTTTCTATCACGTTTCCATTTTTGTTTTTCTTTTTTACACATAAAATATTGTTTATCGTACAACGTTCTGGATCTGTTAATTTCGCTCATTTACAACTACCCTCGCACACGATTCCTTTTGGCACAAAATGACAAATTGAGAAAGCTGAGTGTGAGGTCATGTCAAAAATGAAGGGATATACAGGGGAGCTCAAAATAGAAAAATATTTTCCTGTCGGGCTTCGTTGGGGAGTTATGCGTCTTCAAAGAAAGAAGTTTGAAAAACAAATTCCAATTATAACTTCTAAGTCGTTACTATGACAGCAATGAAATTTGGGCAATTAAAGTAACTCATGATAATGTTGATTTCCAAGTTTAAACTGATTTTCAATATGCCTGGATTATACAGGAACAGACGAAATTATTCATTTAAATATATACGTCTTTGACAGCGTTGCCAAATTTGGCATTTTTCTTTCATAGTTCGATTCCTCTCATTTTGCTTAAAAAAAGGTGTACCATATATCAGTCGATATCTTGTACCGTTTTTGAGAAAATGTAATTTTATTAACAACATTCATGTATTGTATCCAAAATGCGATATTAACATTTTTGCAAAAATTTTGGAAATTGAGATGACTGTCAACTGTATGTATAACTAGCAGTTAGATATTTATCATAAATCATTTTGACACCATTTGTTAATTCAATAATATCATGGAGGATTTTAGCTATGAAGAATTTGTAGATCTAATGTACGAATCTGCAGAATGTAACGCTTCTGAAGCTGTTTGAATTTCCGAAAATCCCTTTCCAAACAGAATTTGCATATCTGAAGTGACGAAAGCCCCCATGCTATTATTCAGACAAAACACTAATAAAAATGTATCATTAATGTTTGGATGGGAATAATTGGAAATTACTTGGTGGAACCGCATATCATTGGTGACGCTTTAAATACCTACACTTACGCAAGAACACCTTAACCCATTATAGTCCAGGAGAATTACATATTGACATATCATGGCTTTAGATATTAGTACAAATCTGTCGAAAATAATATATACAATGAAAATATAAGTTTGTGCCAGGAAAAAAGTTGTGCTATTTGCAGGAAAAATTAAAAACTGCAAAAAATACTCAAATATGGCGTGTTGTGTGTAAGAAAATTTCCAATATAACTTTTTAAATATGCAGTTTACAGAAAAAACTATTACTGATGAAATTGTTCCTTATGAAATTTGCTACAAAATAGAATTGTATTTTAATACTCGCGCATATCATATTTTTGTTGTTAGATAGCCAAAACAGCGTAAGAAAGTGATGAAAATCGAAGTAATTTTGAACCGGTAACAGGTAAGAAATTGTCCAATTCTACTATAAATGTAGATGTAAGTACTTTCAAGGATTACAAAATGAAATCCCAAAATCCGATCCAAATCGGTCTGATAGTTTTGACATGGCACAATTTGTTACTAAATTTCAGAGCGAAATTTCTTTGCGTCAGTGCTAGGGTCAAAGGTAGGCATTTTAATTGGCGTTGATATTTTTACATATACTTGGACTCCTTAACTATCATATAGAATCGTTATAATATCAATTTTCTTTTTTTGGAGCGATTTTAAAAGTTCGAATAATTTTGACTAAAAACAAATACTTTCGTGAAACGGTTTTGCGGGTTGGAAAATATACAAAAATACTAAAAACCAATTCTCAGAAAGACGCTTAACTTAAAAAAAAGGAACGTCGTTCAAATTGGTCGTATAAGTTCCGAGATATCGAGTGTCAAAGTCAACAAGCGTTAACTGCAAAACTTGAACAACTACAAAAATTGAATTTGGTAGGTTTTCTCAAGAACTTTCCATATGAGTTTTTTATAAACAATAATAATAATAATAATAATAAAAATAATAATAATAATAATAATAATAATAATAATAATAATAGTTAGTTAGTTAGTTAGTTAGTTAGTTAGTTAGTTAGTTAGTTAGTTAGTTAGTTTA